AGGACTGTTAGAAAAAAGGTGAGCTGCCTGCCAGCGAAACATTTGGTACGTGGAACGAGTACGGGAACATAAATCACTACTAATTTTGCTAGATTAGTCATAAAATGTACGGAGTATGTATCATGTTTTGCATACCTATTTTGTACATTCTAAACAATGCTCTACTGGCGTTAGCATACTACGAGTCTACGAGTATGTAACACTGCTACCTAGCAGTTCAATAAGCATTCTACAAACCAAGCTTGAATATTTACTGAAATACTGAATCATGCAGTGATGTATGATACTTGTATTCAGTTTCATGTAAGACAGAAACACGACTTCCTCACAAATTAAGAGTCCCCTACCAAAAGTTACTACCAACACTGCTAATAATAATAAGATCTCATATTGAAGAAGTTGACATAGGGCCGTAGAAGCAAAAAAGATCAATGGTCTTCAAAACAAAAGACAAAACAATCGTGATAAACTACAAGAATTATAGCACAGATTTCATTTAGGAGGCTCGTAATTTAACTATTATGAGTCTAACGAGTTACAACTATACACAAGACAATGACTAATGTCTAACTAGTCAAGAAATAATCCAGATTGTCCAGAGATAAGAACGCGGCAAGATGAATCCCCTTTGGATAGAACTAGCAAGTACTCTGTAGCAAGTAAATTCTCTTAAGAGAGTAGAATCGTGCCATCTTTGCAACAAAGTGGACTTTTCCAAGTTTAAAACTTTACCCTTAAATTGGGTGTTTTCAAGCTTTTCCCTTGAATTTTATCCAACTTTCCCTAGTGCATTGGCCAACAATGTATTCAAGTCTGGGTTACACCAATTCAGATATCATAGGAATTTTAATGCTTTGGCAACCTAGTTGCTAGGGATGTTAGTGGGGCGGGTCAAGTAGGAGACCCGCCCAAATGGGGCGGGGATGGGTCTTGTTTTGGCGGGTGATGGGGCGGGGATGGGGATAAAAATCATACCCGCCATGGGTGATGGAGCGGGGGTGGATTTTAGGTTGTATCCACCCCATTTCGTATCCGCCCCATCCCCACATCCTTATATTTTTAAAAACAAAAATATATACTTTTATACTATTTTACAAAAAAATTAAAAAAAAAATGTAAAATAAAATAGTAAATATAAAACTTTGTAATACACTTATATTATAAACAAAAAAGTGTGTAATATTAACAATAATTTTTTCTATTGGCGGGTCTTTGGTAGGGATTAGGTGGGGTTGGATATCCAAGTGTGGGGTGAGGCGGGGATGGTTTTGGAATTGTACCCACCGAGGCGGGAATAGGAATGACTTTTAGACCCGCCGCGGGGATGAGGATGGGGATGGGTATGAAAATTTTAGGTGGGAATGGGGATGGGAAGGGCAACATCCGCCCCATTCCGCCCCGCCCCGCCCCATTGACATCCCTACTAGTTGCCTAAATTTTTACAAAATATTAATATTTTTTAATTCAACCTAATCCTTATGTATGTACATCTATTTTCTATTTCATAAACTCTCCTCTATCTAAGAATGCATACATGTATGCATGCATATCTATAGATTTCCAAACATATATACTCCTAATCAACGAGTTAAAGGATGATAAATTAATGAAATCATGGTGAATCAGCTTTAATAATGAATTTCAGAACATAGGTGAGTATATCCTTATACTAATGTACTTCTTGCTTTTGCCTTTTTTTCTTTAATATACTAGGACCACTAGGCACTATTCTTGTTGCATTCAACCAAAGACTTCAAAGCTAAGAAGAACAACCACCGTTGCTTTGGATAAGGTTGGGACTAGAAGGTTATTGAGTAAGACACACCAGAAGAAATCTGATTCAGAAAGAACATGAGAAAATCACAATTGGTGTGACATAATGATTTAATAATGGAAACACGTACCGACTCCTATGACTTTAGCAAATCTAAAATTAACCCATTTGCAATAGGATTAGATAGAAGTAGGTGTATTAGCCTTAGCCCTTAGGGTGCATCATGTCACGAATGCCTTATCGGTTAGACCTTAGGGGAAGGTAATTATAATTAAAATGTCTTATTCATTGCATGCTGCCTTTACTCTAATGCAGCTACTTGCGGACATTAGGACATATTCATCTTAAATATCACAAATATAATAAAAAGATCAATGGCAGGACTCAAAAAAAGTGATAGCCCATACTCCAATACTGTGTTAACAATTTAGCTTACAGCTCTTAAGAAATATTATCAGAAATTAGATTTTATATTGATATTTTATTTGTGGAGTGTAACCATTCTACCAGTTTATATTACTTGCTCCTAAGTAAAATGAGCCACACACGTAGTTCCAAAATTTCCAATCATGGGGAGAGCATGTGGATTAGCAAAATATGGGGGCCAGAAAGTGTGATACGATTATACCAACCAAAGAGGATATATTACAATAATTTCATAAGTTTCCTCCCCTGTTTATCACTTGATCAACCAAATTTACGAAGTATATCCTATATTTAAATTGTGTGTTACTATGTTACTAGTATTTCTAGGGTCTTTATCAAAAAATACCACCCCCTATTATCCAGCTTACAATTTATTCAAACAAAAATTGAAAGGAATACATGGCGTTAAGTAAGAAGCTTCTCACCTTGCATACGACAGATTAGATTTCTGGCACTTGGAATGAGCGATATTGTAACAGTTGCAACATCCAAGAACTAGCTTCTGCGACAGAGGATAGATTTGATCTATTAGATGAGTTTAAAGTTTTAATAGAAAAAATCACTTGATCATGGCAGATCTTCTCATGGTTTTACCACAAGCTGTGAGAAATGTACAGGAACCCAAAAAAAGTTAGGAAATGGCTAAATGCGTTGTTATCACACAAATAGTACAAGTACAGTTAATTTCAATCATTTTAAGAAAAAAAATTATAAATAGAAATTTAATACTTCGTACGTATTTAGGCAATAAGCCCATGCACATGCAGATGAAACAGAAAAACATTCATATTCAAGGTTAACAAACAAACGGTATGGTTTCAACATAAAAAAAAGTAGTAAGACAACCAGATATTTAGTCTGCAATAAACTGTACGCACTTGTACCGTACAAGATTAAATATTTACTAATCTTTGCCACTTTTACAGTTTTAACTAAACTTTTCTGTAACATTCTTTAGACTTCTGTAATATGTTGTATACATCCCTTTCCTAGCCTGATCAAAGATAATAATAAAAATATAAAATTAAAACAACGTGAAACAACTGCAAGGAACAACAAAAGCACCATAATCTTGAACAGGACAGGTCAAATTAACCATTCTGAGATTAAAAGGTCAATCTGAAAAAAGTTATTTTGATGCCAATGACCTCATGTGTCTAGAAGAAAATCTCTCTTATCCACAAAATCAACTCCCTATCCCCTTTCTTCCCCACCCTACCATTGAATCTCATTGCAACTTGGTGTAAACTATTGTTCCTTTAGTAATTTAATATTCTGAAATAGGTTGCTTTAGAAATATATTAATTAGTGCTTAGGAAACAAGGAGCAATATTATAAACTCCACCACAAGACGGCTAGAATGGCTTACGTGGCGTTAGTCAGCATAATTACGGTTAATCTCAACCCTTCGCTCACACTTATATCACTTTTAGAATTGATCAAAACAATCTAGAGCGTTCAACATTATTCTTAAATTAGCCAAAATAAGAGGTTAATGATGTAATAAATTCTTTAGGACATAATTATATATTAAGTAATTTCGGTCCCTAAGGATTGTGATCCTGATATTTTCTTATAGGATTATGCTGATCTGGTTTTACCAGAAAGAAGGATTTTTTTATTAGATTGTTAGTATGGCAAAGCATCTTATGCTCTGTGGTGACATTGCTCTATGGTGACATACTGACATGACTATGGTCTGCTTTAAAATTGGCATACTTTAAAAAGCTAATCAAATATTTTAAAAATTACAAAATCAAATCTAACCTAAAAAAAGCATCCTTGTTATATGGTTTATTTAGTCAGATTAATGACTTGTCATAAAATCTCAACCGCCAATTGTTATACTTGTATAGATGCATACTTATTCAAACCCCTTCCCAGTTCAGTCTACGCAAAGATGTCCACCTAGTGCGGAAATATCTAAGCTAAAACTAAAAAACATGGATGCTAACAGAAAAGGCAAGTATGTTTAAAAGGAGCACATATATGATCCCTAAAAATATTTAAATTCTAACTGAAGTTGTTTTATTCCAAAATTGTAAAACTGCGTTAGTCAGGAAAACCTAACATGCACCAAGATACACCATAATGTTACTCGTAAAACCTACCCCGGCATAGGATTAAAAACGTCCGATCCCTATGAGTGTTTTACCATTGTTAGCAAGACTAGCCAATGCAACAAATTATTTCTTAAAAAAGTGAGTCTAAAAGCAATATTCCACTTCAAATGTATGCATAGTAAAGGAGTGATTTAAGATTCATACAGATCACTATTCCCAGCAAGATTTAATCATTTTATTAAATTGATAGATGGTCTAATTGAAGGCGTCACAAGTTGTTTTATAGTTCTACGGTTTATACACGTTTCATTCAATATGACCTCATTCTTAGGTTTAAGTAGTCTTCACATCTGCACCAAACCAAACCACTCATCATAGGAAAATTATTCCTGACTAAAGCGAAGAAGCTAACAAAACAAAACTTACCATAAAGATACCAGTTTACACCTTATCTTTTGCAAGCAATTGTAACCATTGGCTGGACTTTTCCATTGTAAAGACTAAGATTATTTCTTTCAAACCTTGCAAAAAAAAGAAGAAAAAGAATGTAATGACAGTTTGATACAAGTATTATTCAGGCACTAAAAAACAACAATAAAAGGTGAAAATTGATGGACCCATAAAAGACTTGGTGAGTGCAATGTGCGCCTAGCTAAGTTGGACTCAGTTCTCGTACATTGTTGTATTGCTTAAATTCTCAACAGTATCTTGTGGGGCCCCCACAAATTTTAAAATTTTTTTATGAACTTTCTCCTTTACTCTTTACCTAATTGCAATTAGCCCTGAACCTTAAGTAACTTCCATTCCCATCTTTAAATACACGTTTTGTTGTAAGCCTTACCCACCCATCAAACACATCCTTTCCCTCTAAAACTTTGAAGAAGAAAACCAAAGATGAGACTTCTTCAATGTCCACTACCTTGCCATTTAGAAGATGAAAATCAATCTAACTCTCATGGCCTTCGATCCGGGTACTCTTCCTCATCATCCTCATCCTCTCTTACTTCACAGCGAAGTCTTCAATCCCTCCCTTCTCTCTCTTTATCCCAACTTGATCAAAAAACCAATACCATACACTACCAGTGTATTTCCACCCTCAAAGGCCACACCTCCTACGTTTTCTCCCTTGTTCTCAACGGAAAATATCTCTATAGTGGTTCCTCCAATGATGAAATCAGAGTTTGGCCTAGAGAACTTACCAACCACCACCAGAATTCAGCTGAAAATAATAGCAATATTGTTGCTACTACAAACGGTGCAGTTAAGTCCTTGGTGGCTTTGGGAGACAAGCTTTTCAGTGCACATCAAGATCATAAAATTCGTGTCTGGAAGATTGATAGCAATAACGACAGCCATAATAAGAGGTACCAATGTATAGCCACTCTTCCCACAATGAACGATCGTTTCCTAAGGCTCTTATCAGCAAAAAACTACATACAGGTACGGAGGAACAAGTCCTGTACCTGGGTCCATCATGTTGACACTGTCTCAGCACTTGCCTTGTCAAGTGATGGATCCCTCCTATACTCCGCTTCATGGGATCGAACCTTCAAGGTATGGAGGACCTCCGACTTTAAGTGCCTAGAATCAGTGGCCAAGGCTCATGATGATGCCATCAATGCTCTCGTAGTATCTAAAGATGGGTATGTCTACACCGGATCAGCTGACAAAACCATCAAAGTATGGAAGAAACACCAAGGAGAACGAAAACACTCCTTGGTGGAAACACTACAGAAGCATAAGTCTGCAGTCAATGCATTGGCTATTAGCAATGACGGGTCTGTGCTCTATTCTGGAGCATGTGATCGTTCAATCATAGTGTGGGAAAGAGAATCTGGTGATAGTGGCAACATGGTGGTGGTGGGAGCACTTAGAGGCCACAGCAAGGCCATTTTGTGCTTGGCTGTGGTGTCTGATCTATTGATCAGTGGTTCAGCTGATAAGACTATCAGGATATGGAAGAGGTCAGGTGTTGACAAGAATTATACTTGTTTAGCAGTCTTAGAGGGACATATGAAACCAATTAAGTGCTTAACTGCAGCTGTTGATCCAAACAGTAGTTCTCGTTCTGGTACTTCTTATTTAGTTTATAGTGGTAGTTTAGATTGTGATATTAAATTATGGAAAATTTGGGTTCCTTTTCACTGAATTTTCCATGTTTTATGTAGTTTATTGAAATTTTGTTACATATTGTTTCAAATGTACATAGAATATGATTTGAGTATTTAGACTATTTACAGATTTTGTCCTTTGGAGTGGCCTTTGTTGAACATTCCTAGCTCTAAACCCCTTATTTGCTTTCAAATCATCCAAGGATTTTCAGGGAAACAGCTTGGGGAAGAATAGCCTTAATCTTTCTTTTAATTTTTTCCATCTTTTTTTCCCTATTCTTTCCTTTCTAGCTTTCAGAAATCAAAAAAATCAGTCAAAAGCCAGAATAAAAGGTTTACGGATGATTCAACGAAGTTCCTTGAGAGTGGACGGCCATTTCCTTAAAACACTTCTAAGAAATTTCCAGCTCCTATGCCAATATAGGATTACAATTTGATCACACTACTGTTACTAACAAGTTAAGAAGCTAATAGTCATAGTCTACCTACATATGCATCAATACATGACTATTACTCTTAAGCGCATTGACAGACTCAAATAAACTATATTGTTGTTACCACGTCAAACAAGCAAAGCAAGATCAAATCTGTAAATAGACTAAAATTCAAGTTAATGAGAAATCAAAACAAATTTAACATATATGCACAGATTTTATGTAGTACATATATAATAGAAATTGCTACATATGAAATACATAGGAGGAATCTACTGAGGAAGTTGAAAAAAAATATAACTCCCAGATCCCCTTTACATATACTTTAAAAGAAAACCTAATTTAAATGTCAATTTTCGATCAGTCAACGGTATGTTATGCTCTTGTGTTGATGAACAAGCTCTTCTACTGGATTTTTTTTTTTTTTTCAAAAGAAACTATTCCCTGCTACAAAGTGAGCACTACAATTGACTTTTAGATAGGCTATGAAATCTACCCTCTATAGCAAACCCTTATTTCAGCTCAAGAATTGCAGCTAGATAAAACTATAAAAGGCTTTGTTTTTATTCTTTTTGTAACATGGCAATTTAGTTGATTACAGTCTTACAGATTGAGAAGCTACACACAAAATCCCATATCCCCCTGTAAATGATGTCAGTATACTTTTTCCAGGATTCAATATTAAGCAAACACGGAATGACAGCATGATTTCGTAAATGAATTTAGTTCTTTGATCATTGAATAAACAAGTAACAAGCACCACACAGAGGAATAATATTTTCTTACATATAACCAAAAAGGAAGATATGCAAAGAATACTATACAATGAATTTAATCTCTTAGAGACATATTGATTTGCTGGAAGTTTAGTTAATTCTTTTTGCTATATACAAAAATTTTCTGATCGAAGAAAAGCAACATTAATGGTTAGTTATATGCCCTTCAGAGCTATTTAAATGCAGAACTCGAAAGTTTTAGCATATTCAACTTAATTTGCAACTGAAGGCTATTTATCAATATTTAAGTCATTTTCTTTTCTAAGTATTTGATATATATATACAATATAATGTAAAACTATACAATAAGACAGTAATATATAAACGAATGGCTCTTCTAAAATATCCATTTATTAAAGGAGAGCAAACAGCTAAGTTTACTATACTAAATTAATACTTTTAACTTCAGAAAACTATACTAAAATTAATCACTGCTCTTGAACTAGAAAGTAGGTAAAAGTCATTTCTTAGTCTTGTAACCCATAATATTTAATTCATTCCTTTCAGGGAGGTAACAAAAACATGATCTAAGAAAACACAAAATTAAAGGTGATCCTGTTTCTGATTTTCTCTCATTGTTTAAGGTAATATCTTTTCAGAAACAGGAAGAGCACTAAGACGCGGATTAAGGAGACAGCAACAGGAAGAGCACTAAGACGTGGATTATCCTAGATTCTTCTTAATGGTGAATAAAGAATGACAAGAAGCTTCTTAGCAGATTTTAGATGGCCAATAATTAATCTTTAAAAAAATTTATATTCATGCAAAACCCTGCCACGTTAAAAAGTGACAGCGAGAAGGAAGGTAATTAAGAAAAACAGAAGAAAGTGCTGCAATCACCCTTTTGACTCCAGAATTCTCCGAATCTAGATTACAATGTTCTAATTAAATAAACAAAAATGGTGAACTTGGAATAACCAGATAAGTAAATTCTTAGAGAAACATTGTAAGATTATAATGACATAAAACAATACCCAAAAGATATAAAGAGAGCTCGTCCAAAAAAAAAAAAAAAAAAAAAAAAAGATCTAAAGAGAGAAATAGGAGGTGAAGCTTGGATTGCACTAATCACTACTAGCATTTACTTGACATATTAAAACTGGAAAGTATTATTCTTGAACATGACAGAAGGAAAAAATGCACAAAATCAGTCATCCCCAACAACTTTACCGACATGAAGCATACTGCCACCAAAAAATGTAGTTTGCTTTTAATAGTTTATTAATCTTGAAGTGAAATGTAAGGTCAGAGTGCTACATTGAATATCATATACGTAGTGTAGTTCCTAGCTCAATCAAACATAACAAAACTATTATAGCTTTGTGAATTACACCCAGACAAGGTGACATTTTAAATTCTGTATTATGTTATGTTATGTAAGCACAACTGACTTATATTGGCAATTCCAAAAGCTAAAAAAGCATCCAGCTTAAAACTGGCCAATAATTGGCATTAACTTTAATAATACCCACTACCAATAATGTATCTTTATAAATTACTAATCTGCCTTTATTATTTCTACAAGGAAAAAGGCCTTATAGCAGCCAAAGTGCAGCAACCAAGTTAACACGAGCACAGGTAAATCCGCTAGATTGCCTGCTTACTATCAATAGCATTAAAAAAGGTTGGACCATTTGCAACTAGAATAAGTACAAACTCAGTGCTACACAACATATACCTTAGCACTGGTAGTATGATTTCAGTTAGTAAACATAGCACTCTCAACATCAATGATCTCATCATAAGAAAAATCAAGAGCACCGAAGGCTTAATAAAAGTAGATATTAATCGAGGAACTCCTATCTGATCTAATATGCAAACAGAATGTTAAGGGTGTTTTCTTAGCTAGAAAAAGTTGATGAATACTCCGTAGCATGCAAAAATATAGTCAGTCAATTCATATATTGCACAACTAAAATGGATCGATAAACATATGATCAATGCATACATGTAGCCTTTTCTTTTTCTATAGTACCCAAGAATGTTTGACTATCAATCTCCTGAATGATGAAAAATCTTGGCTTACGAAGTCCCATAGGGTGGCAGTCACAATTCCTAAAATATTTAACAGAACAAAACATTACAGAATTGTATTCATTTTTTTATAGAAAATCATGAGATCATCCGCAGGTTACTAGGATTGTATTTATCTACAGTAAGCTGGACATAGAATTCAAAAAAATAAACAAATAAAAAACTTGTGATGAGAACAAAGGAAGTGAAAACACAAAGAACAGTGCTGAACACGTTGTGAGTTCACATTTCATAGCTAGATCTAAGAAAGTAATAAGTTAAGTAGTACAACAAAGTAAAGCCTAAAATTTCTCACCAGACTGCTAATTAATAAAGTTGAAGGTAACATGCTGCTGGGTGAACATATAGATGTTTGCTATAAGTCTGCTGCCATCTTTTTATTGCATTTCTATTTGATAAAATCTTAAATACAATAGACATTCATTAAGTAAGCTTGGAGAATTTATACAAAGAAAAACATACCAAATCAAATGTGCTGAATTGGACACCTCATTGAACAATCTTCACAATCATGCCTCCAAGCAACAATTACAGGATGCCTGAAAATCAACCACAGATAAGCTAATCAATACAATAATCAAAGAGCATGTTAAGAAATTTATGCCTATCTTTAAGAAATATTATAAGAGTACAAAACTCTCCGTCAGAATTAATAGTCACATTGCCTCAACCCTCCATAATTAATGTTTCACCATCCCTCACTAGAAAGTCCTAAGAAATAGTTGTTTCTTTCTTCCCTCAAAATATAGTATACGTGACTATAAATTGCGAACAGATAAGGTACAATATTTATTGAAACTACATCGATGATTCAGTGGGAAGCAACTGAAGTTACACATATACGATCTAGTAATTGATTCCTTCTTTCATAAGATAATACTTCGTAACTAATGTGCATAATAATTCGGTAATTAACTGCTAAAATTTCATACACAAGCAATGATACAATTCTACGGCTGCAAGATGACGATGAAATTGAGGGTAATTAATAAACCTTGAAGAAATAGAGAGAATTATGGTAAAGGAATTTTTTTTAAAATTTAAAAATTTCAAATTATAAACCCTCGGTGCTTTAATTCAAGCTTAAAAGAAGATTAAAATCAGAAAAACTCTAAATCACAATTGAATAACGAATAAAATTACGAAAAATTAGGTTTAGAACAACAAATTGCGAACTGTAACCAGCAACATTAAGCAAAAAATTATGCAAAAAAAAACCGTAATTCAAAGAATGCGAAAAGGAAAATTGAAATCAGGCGAATAATTACCAGAAATTAAGTATGAAATTGAGCTCAGAATTGAAAAAAATTCAACTTACAGAATGATTTTCATGATTTGATCAAGAATTTTTGCAGCCGAAGTTGCCCAGGCAGTGAAGCAGAGAGAGAGAAACTGCGAGTGTCTCCATTGGCGCGAAACAGAGGGGTAGAAGTTGGACTGGACCATATAGTATGATATAAAGGAAGTTGGGAACGGAAGAGTTAAGACTGGCCCAAAATGTGGTGACGGGCTAAAGGACATCTCGTTGGGACTTGGGGTATTGTTATGGCCTTGTTTGGAAAAACTAACGATAGCGGGTAATTTTTAGATGCTGAGCCATGGGTAGTTGTCGAACTTTTTAGAGTAGCTTGTAGTTGTCAATTAGTAGTGGATAAAAATTACTAAATGTTGTTGATAGTATAATTGTTTGGTAAATAGTTATTTGAATTTTAAATTACAATAAAATCATATACTATAGTTGTAAATAAGTAATTATAATTTGTCAAACGTTACCCGCTAACTTTGAAATGCTAATATATCTAACGTTAAAAAAAAAAAAAAAAAAAAACTACGTCTACCGTTAACCACTACCGTACAAATTACTCCCTCCGTCCCATAATACTTGAGACGTTGGGGGAGGACACGTAATTTAAGAAAACTACAAGTGGGTCCATTTAAAACATTTGTTTATTATATAAAGGATTATATTTTGTATTTTTAATTTTTTATATTGTAAGAAAACAAAACGTAGGGGAGGTGGGGGTAGTGAGGAGAGAGAAAATGTAGAATTTAAATTGGGTTTTGAGGATTGTGGTCCCAAAGTGAGTATAGAAAAATATTTTTAGTGGTCCCATTCCATATTTAGTAATGTGTCAAGTATTTTGTAACGGAAGAAAATGATAATCGTGTCAAGTATTATGAGACAAAGGGAGTACTCTTGTTTTTCTAGCTACTGTTTTAACTACAGGCGGGGCTAGCACTGTCAAATTTCAAACCAAAACCGTTTAACTACCCGAATCCAATCGACCCAAATAAGAACCGAACTGATTAAAAACTGATTTTTTTGAAACAGAAAATCGACCTGAACCACATTTTAGTAAACCCGAAACCGAACCGATCCAAGTAACGTTAAACCGTTTAAGAACCGAACATGTTAACAAACCGAACCAAATCTAAACCGAACTGAAAGAAAGCCGAACCGAAAATGAATCGAACCGTTTCTAACCAGAAACCGTTTAAACTGGCATAAAAACTGTTTACACCGAACTGTTAACAAACTGTAACCCGTTTGCACCGAACCGTTTATAAACCAAACTGATTATAAACCGAACCGTTTATGAACTGAATCGCTTATAAATCGATCCGTTTACAAACCGCTTACTATAAAGAAAAGATTAAAACCAAGTTAAAAGGTATTTTAAATAAAATTTAATTATGCACACGTGTTTTTTTATTTTTTTTATTTTTTTTTGAAACATAATTATTATGCACACATGTTTATTAATTATTTTTCCCAACTTTTTTTATATGTAATTATTTTTGGTACACTTTTTTTATGTAATTATATGGATTAAGTGTTAGAATACATTTATGATAAGTCGTGTTTTGTGCATATTTGTTAGCTTATTTTTGGTTGGTTTTATTAGCTTAGTCGAGTGTTTTAGTCTATTTTGGTGTAATTTGGTTTAGTTTCGATGATTCGATGCTTTTATGGGTAGTTTCGTTGTTTTTGATGTATTTCAGGATTAACGGAGCTAATTGAGTGAAAATGAAGCAAAACGTTGATGAAATACTTGACAAATATGACACCTGTTCACTATTATGCTCATAACTTTTGATATACAAATGATAATGGAGTGATTAAAATTGCATTGGAAAGTATACTTTAATACCTTTCCAACAATATATTACACGCCTTAAACGGAGCTCCGAATATGAAGTTATGACTGATTTAAGATGAGTGATACGCGCAGAAGGGGAGGCACGTCCGTACCTAGCTGAGGCACGTCCGTGCCTCCAAGTCAGTATACACAGCTTTGAGTTTCGACACTAGGCACGTCCGTGCCCAGGACTGCAGTTAGCACTCGTCAGGAGGCACGTCCGTGCCTCACCTAGGCACGTCCATGCCTGGAAGTCAGAAGCTACCCAAGTTTATGCACGCAGGTAGGCACATCCGTGCCTATGAGGAGGCACGTCCGTGCCTCCTGGGATTCTTGTGCGCCAAGCCTTTTGCCGATTTTCATATCTTTTCTAGGCTTATATTTACACTAAGTGGTGTTTTATTATTTCATTAAGTTTTATTCTAGCCTTTTATTTTACGTTATTAAGAACTAGTTCTCTCTATTTTATTTTCTTTACTTTTGTAATTCAAGATTTACACTTTGCGCCTTCAATTCAATTCAAGATTCGGTATTTTCTTTTAATCTATTGTTTCTTAATTATGTTTTCTTCAATTATTATTGTCATTGTTTATTCCATTATGAGTGAGTAGATTTCCTATTCCAAGATCTAGGGTAGCCCAATTATGATTGATGCATGAATTAAATCTTTAAATTCTCTAATGACTTTTGCAATTGCTATGCTAAATTGATTGTGATTATGCCAATTCTAGATTAGACGTAATCTTAGTATTGTGATTATTCCATTGTTTCTATCACAACGAGAGTTGGGTTTAAACGGATTTGAGTAGATCAATTTAGGGTTTGATATTCAACACGAGAGTAGTTGGGTTTGATAATTGGGAAGTTAGAGTAATGTGTTCAATGTCTCTAATATGCATGATACCATGAGAATAGGGTTGATTGTATGTTAGGGAAGCCATTGATACTCGAGAGAGGTCCTTGGTATTTATTAGGGTTTACTTTTCCCCGTTCAATTGGAATCGTATGTTAGGGGTAGGAATATAATTGCATCAAGCGTAATTGTGGTGATACTAGATCTTGGATGTTTTAATTACTTGATTTCTTCATATTCTTTAGTTTATTTTCGAATTTTCCATACATTAGTTCCTTAGTTAATCGATCATTATTGATTCTTGCTGAGTAGGAATTTGAGTCTATTTAATTATTTTTGAACCTTAGTCTCTTGGGATTCGACCCTTGCTTGCCCTGCTACATAGTAGTGGTCAGTTAGGTTATATTTTGTTAGGTACGCGACACGCCTACCAAATTTTGGCGCCGTTGCCGGGGACTAACAGTTTCATTTGATTATTTGTGATTCGTTTTTACTAAGCCTCATTCGTTGCTTCGGCTATTGTTTCTTGTGTTTTTGATACTCTTCTTTAGTTCCTTGTTGCATGCAAACTCGAGGTTCAGGATCAGACGATTTAATTCCTTTTGATTCTGAGATCGAAGCGACCGCAAGAAGACGAGCAGGTAGAAGAAGAAGGAGAAACCAAGCCAACAGAAACATGGAAGATGCCACGAAGTCTCTTTTGGAGTACGGTATCCCTGATACGACAACCGGACTCCTCTCTAGCATATAATAATTTTTGAAGCATATAATAATAATTATACTTTCTGTAATTCACATCAAAATTTATGATTCTCATTACAATTACAACTAAGCTCAACACAACTCAACTCTGACTTCTCATTACAGTAAAGCAAAATTATGTTCGTTCTTTTTTTTTATGTATAAGCACGAGTTAATCGCTCCATAATTGACTAAAGAAACTAAACCATATATAATCAGTTTTAAAAAATTAGGCAATAGGCTTGAGGTTGAACACGGCAAGGAGATCATTCGTGGAGTGAGTGCTTCAGCTCCAACAAAAATGCAATAGCATAGAACAACCAAAATGCAGTAGCAACGCTAAACAACATTAATAATAATACCTGAAGTATATTAATTAGGCATCAGTGTAAGAAATGAAGCAACACTTTTCTCAAAAAAAAAATGAAGCAACACAATATAAATTAAGCATCACTACAATACAACATCCATACCTTTCTAATTAGATGCAAAACTTTCATCTATCACCTCTTTACCAATTTCAAGGATGTCTTCTTCAATATCACAATCATAACCACTTAACCAATTTTGTGTGGTAACCAACCTCAACATTCTTAGGCAAAAGCACAATCCTGGCCTATACTTGTTTAAAATACGACCACCCATGCTAAAAGAAGACTCATAGGCTACCGATGTAATAGGAATGGCCAAAACATCCTTAACCATAACAGCTAATATGGGGTACACACTAATTTTAGATTCCCAATACTTGAGAACATCATAATTCTGCCCTTCATAAGTCGGTTGACGAGGAGTACACAAATAAGAATCAATCTCCATCGATAGCCGATTTGATGGGCTATCCTCATAATCATCAGCATACTAGAAAAGTTCAAACAAAAATGTTTTTATTAAATAATAAAAATTAAAACATACAATTATTTTTTTTAAAAACCACAATAAACATAAATTGATTACCTTGAATATATCATAATCCAAGTGACTATTTGATTTATCGATAACAGTTGGGATAGAGGGGGAAACAATTGTACTTGACTTAAAACCGGAAGACATAGAAGAATAAAAGTTATACAACTCCAAAGGAGCATCTTTAATCACCTTCGCCTTTTCAACACATGCCTCATCAACATAAAGCACTTTTATTATATTCGTCACTCGAACAAGCTTATAGCGAGGATTAAGAACAATAGCAATTGAAAGGATCAAACTATATCATCCTAATAGCCCTCAAACTTTTCAAGCATAACTTTTGCCATTGGTGCAAGTTTAGGGTCTATATGGGTTTTACTTATTGTGTGCTCAAGTTTTAAAACACTAGCAAAATACAAATTTGCAGTAGGATATTCTGAACCAGAAAATAACACAGTGATTTCATAAGATGGCTTTAGGAAATTACATATTTTAGTAAGGGTATCTCATTCATCATCCGAAAGTTTGAATTCATAACCCATAAACTTATCGATAACCACTTTCAAGGCTTCATTTGCTTCTAAAACTTTTCGGAGCATCATATAGGCGGCATTCCAACGAGTCTCAACATCAAGACGTAACTTTCCATTAAACACACAATTAACCTCATAAAGAGCATGCTCAAATTGAGCAAGTCTAGAGTCTGAAGAATCAATATATTTACAAACCTCACGCAATTTTTGAACATTACTATCAACTTCTTTTAAACCTCTTTGAACAATAATGTTCAAGACATGATCTGAACATCGAATATGAAAAAAATTACCATTATAAGGAAGAGGAAAAGTCAACATTAAATCTTTCTTTAAAAGTTTAACCATAACATCCATGGATCGAGCATTATCAAAAGTCATTGCAAAATCTTTACCCTGAAGGCTCCACTCGCCAATAAGTTTAAACACATATTTTTTTTATCTTAGCACCAATATGAGGAGGACCACAATATCTAAAATTCAGAATTTTAGACCTAAGACACCAATTTTTATCAACATAATGTGCAGTTAAAGTGAGATAACCTCGATTAGTGCATGCTATCCACAAGTCACAAGTGAAGCTAACTCTACCTTCAATTTCAGAAAAAGATTGCAACAACAAGGACTTAAACTTATCATGCTCAGCAATACAATATTTCAAAATAGTGTTTCTACACACATGCTTCACGTTGGGATTCAGATTCGTAAAAACTTCCCTAAGACCATAATGCTCCACCATACTTAAAGGATAGGAATACAAAATTATAGCTCTAGCAAGCAATTGTAAATGACGAGTTTAATTAAACGGGGGCTCAACACCACTTTCATGATTTCCAGGATGGTGTGGATTTTTACTCATGCATGTCTTAGTATGAGCTTTACAAGTTGAAGTACCTACCTTACTTGGTGTTTTATATTCATTACCGCAAATATTGCATCGAGCATATTTTATCGGAGCAAGACCAACCATCTTATCAAAAAAGGTATAATGCCTCCAAACATCTGATGTTCGTCCACGCTTACTACCACTAGTGGTAGTAACTTGCTGTTGAGTAGAATCTTGATTCTGAACAGTGTATTGAGAATCTATAGTTTCAAAATGATCTTGGTTGTCCTCATCATATTCATCAAACTCTTGCTCCATTGCTGAAAAAACAGAAACACAAAGTAGATGTAAGTGCTCACTCTAATAGCTACAACAGTATAAATCACCTTTCTAACTTTGAAAGAAATCAACCATTAGAATCATTCTAATTTGAGGGTATGTCATCGACTAATTCAAAACCCACTGGACTCAAATGCCCACTAATACTCAAAAATCATATTTTACAAACAAACTCCCGCCACAAACAAATTCGTCAAAATACAATTAACAAAGTACCAATTACCCAGAAAAGAACCAATTGACATACGAGTAGGATAGCTAGCTAATTTAATTTTTCTTAGTCTTATTTTATAATTTTAACTTGTTTAATCATTAAATAAAAGCACGACAATTATCTTGCTAACTCGAAACCTTAGGATTAGGATTAATGAATGTCAATGTCATTAGCGAAATAAACATAAAAAATGAAATAAATTTTTAAAAATTGAATCAAATTTTAATGATACAGCAACAAATAAGAAGAAAACTTCAAAAGTACAATATTTCAGAAATACATATTTCAAAAATAAATGAATGCAAACCAGGCAGCTTGAGGGAAGATTTGGAGAGAAAAATTATGTTTTTGGGCAGCAACGTTTGAGTTTCTGGGCACGCAACAACGGATGAGATTCGGGCAACAATAGTACTTCAAAGTTCAAACAATTGCAACCAACGAATCGATAATGAGAAGATAACAGAGAAATGAGAATGAAGATAAGGGTAAATGAAAATATGAGCATGAGAGGGGGATCTAATAATGAGATAAGAGAGAGAATGAAGGACAAGGCTCCGTGACTCGTGAGGGATAGGAAGTGAAAGTGGTAAAGTGGAGAATTGGGGTTTTCAAAAGATATGTGCTTTAAATCTAACCATTGATTTATTTATTTATTTTATTCTTTAAATGTCAGCCTTTAGATTATAATTGTCTCATTTTTTTTTATTGGACAGATGAAGATGGTGATCCGTGTGTGTTGTGGAGGAAGAAGTTAACCGTAGATTGTTTTTAATCTATGGTTGGGAGTAGATGATGTTTTGTGTGTTGTATATTCATATCTACAAAAAAATACTCCCTCTATTCCTATTTTTTTGCCCCATTTGATCGAGCACGGTCTCCAAGACGTATATTAAAATGTATATATCTTTATTTTCATACAGTACATGTAAAAATATAAAAACATAATATTAATAAAATATATAATGAGACAAATTTAACAAGACCACTCATGACTAAATGATATATTATAGATTAACAGTAATTTATAGTCAACGTTTTCAAACTTTGACCCCAAAATGATAATGGGGCAAAAATAAAGGAACAAAGGGAGTATTAAAATAAAAGCTGGTGACGGTGTAGATCATTATACTTTGAACTACACGAACAATGATATTTAGCTAATCTTAAGACTTCAACTCAAATTATTGATCCAGTCAAAATAATGTTACTAATCCAAAACTTTACTAATATATATTTAACTATAAGAATATGAGATGGTTAGATATTATGTGTATGTATAATCGATTGAAAGAATCAATATTACCTTCTTAATCATTAATGTTTTCTTTCATTACACAAATCAAATACTTTGTAATATCTTCATATATAACTTTATGCAAATATATAATGATAAACGAGTCTTAATTATCAGTCTTGTTGACTAATTAAGTACTGAATACCAAATTGCAAATTTCGATGTCACAACAACTCATCAAATCATGATTATGACACTATCAATTAATTGATCAAATAAGAAGCAGATAATAATCTAATAGTAAAACAATAATACATTAATGCACTAAACTTTTATAATCTACTTCGTAATAAACTAGTAAGATCAGTATGGCTAAACTTGAAACATAACATGATATGTATTTATAAAATTAATGAGAATTTTTATATAATATGATGCCTAAATATGAAGTGATGAAGTCTCGGCTTGATATAAAACTTAATTGTTAACTAGCCAAAAGTTAGAAAGTACTATCAAATTTCAAACCAAAACCGTTTAATTGCTCGAATCCAAACGACTCGATAAAAAACCGATTTTTTGAAATCAAAAACAGACCCGAACTGTAATTTAGTAAACCTGAAATAAAACCGATCCGAATAATGTTAAATCGTAGAAGAACCGAACCCGTTAACGAACCGAACCAGTTATAAACCAAACTAAAATAAAACTGAACCAAAAAAGAACCGAACCGTTTCTAACCCGAAACCGTTTGAACCGGGATAAAAACAATTTACACCGAACCGTTAACAAACCGCACCCGTCTACACCGAATCGTTTACAACCTGAACCGAATTTAAACCACTCAAGAATAAACCGAAACCAAATCAAACCGATAATTATTTAAACCAAACTGAAACCGACACAATTTCAAACCGAACCGAAACCGAACTATCAAGCCGTTTTGAAACCCGTCTCTAAGCAAGTCTAGCATGGGACACGAAATAGGGCCCAAATAAAATGGGGCCTCCAAATTAAATTCTATACATATAATAAGAAATAATTTTTGCAACATCGTACCGAGTTTTAAATAGAGGTCTTGTGGTTTGTAAATGTAATACAAAGTACTACATGTTAGGGGTTCAAATCTTTGTTGCCGGTCTAACAATTTGTTGTAGCCGTGAAGATTATTTTCATCCGGTTCACATGAATGCATTTGAAATTTTGACAACCGTTGCAATTTCGCACAAATCTTTGCCAACGAACAGATAATAGGGCCAAAGATGGTATGATTACTTTTTTTTAAACCCTAACACACAAAGATTTCCAAATTACTACTCTCTTTACAAATAATTTATGTTCCCTCTAGGGTTTCTCCCTTGGAAAGGGTTTTTTGGTTTCCTCTAGGGTTTCTACGTTGCGAAGGTTTTTCTAACCTACATTATTAGGCCTTTTCTGATGTTTAAAGGTTTTCCTTCACATTTATCCCTGTTCTTTCATTCTCTTTTTTTCTCGGTCTTTGTTGTGAATCTTTGTAGGGGCTTCTGTTGGTATTTTTACCAGTCATAAGCCCCAAAAACATTTTTTATTGCTTTCAATAAATAGATCCATCCTTAAGATGGTGGTTGTTCTGGTGTGTTTAATTTTTTTGTTTGTTCGTCTAACAATGATTGAAGATTTAGGGTTTTATAATCTCCGTAAGTATCTAGAGGACAATATTTTCATCCAAACAACTATATGCATCCATGGATTTCAAGCCGAATTAGTGCTAACTCATAAATCGTATTACCTTAGTGGAAGCTTTTTTTTTATTCATTAAGGCTATGATTGATCGAAGCTGCGAAATAACTAATTATAAGGAGTTATGTACTTATGTTTTGTTGTTTGTAAGTGTCATTTGACTATCTTTCATTAATGAAACCCTTTTAAAAATAAATAAATAAATAAATAAAAATAAAAATAAAAATAAAAAGTTCAAATTCGAAATGAAACATGGACAATTCCCTTGAAATAAACTCGAACAAACAAAACTCTTTAAGAGCCAAGCCCAAATTGGCCAAATAAGTACGGAGTATTTCTAAAGCTCAAACTAGCTCGTTCAAGTTAGATTGCTGAAACTAGCTCGTTCAAGTTAGATTGAACAGACTAGCTCGTTCAAGTTTGATAATACTGTACGTAATTCATACCGAGTGGGAGCTGATTGAAAAGAAAAGCTTTTACGCGCAACATATTGATAAAATATCACTGAAAATTCATCAAGAGTAGGGTGCAGTTGATATTGCATATTATTGCCCCCTACTTAGTGTCCATAATCATTGCACTTATCTTTGATACAATTTGATTGCCAAACTACTCTCTTTATTTTTGTCATCACACTCCATAACACTTTTATTTTATGCAAGGGTAATGCATGCCTTTAATAATCTATAGTGCTTTATTTTACCCTTTCCTCAGTTAGTTCTTCCTTTAGGCTCCTAAACATAAAACCTTTTTGAAAAGAAAAAAATTAAGCCAGAATTGTACTCGTATTTATGCAAAAGAAATTCGAAATACTATGTACGTACATGCTGAATTTACATATGCTGAAATACTAGCACTTCTCACATAAGTTATGAACTTCTTGCAAACAAACTAGGTCAAGCATCGGCTAAATATCATTGGTCAACCCTTAAGTAATAAAAAAAAACATAAACAAACAATTTAAACCTGATTTCAATGTTTATGGGAAAATAAAATAAAAATAAATAAATAAATAAATAAAATAAAAAAAAACCGATTTAAATGAGTCAAGGTCAAAAAAGTTCATTTTCCACTCTCGTTAATATTCTGAACAACTCATTAATATCTTTGTTTGTAAACTTGTTTACTTTTGAATGAATATATATAACTCATTTAAAACCATAAAAATATATGAAACTTAAAACTACTTTACTGTCTTTGTATATAACTTTTTATAAGGATTCAAAATTTTCATTACACCATGAAAATTTGGCCATAGCATAGAGCACTTTTTTTTCCTTTATAGAAAGATTGAAAAAAAAAAAACCTTATAATATAATTAAATCGTGTTATAATTAAAAACTTTAAACTGTTTTAAAAGTTAATACTCGTTTATATAAAAAGTCGATATAAGCTCGTTCAAACTTGAACTAAAACTCGAAATGCAAATAAATTAGCTTGTAAACAATGATCAAGCAGCCAAATTATTAACAAGCCAGGCTCAAACAAGAATTTTCAAAGCTCTTTCGAGCTCAAATCAACTCAGATGACCGACAAGTTTTATCAAGTTTAGATCGAACGAATAGATTAAAATTTTGCTCGGCCTGACTCGTTTGAAAAGCTAAAATCAAATCAACCGTCTTTCTTTTTATCTTTTTACTTCAATATACCTTTCTTCGGGCTTCTAGTTAAGAAGAGTATAAGTGAAGGTAAAGCTATCCTCAAAAACTTTTTTGATTTTGCTAAAAGAAGATTATGTTCTTACAATTTCTTCTAGTAAAACTATCCTTTTAAGATGGAAATGATTACTGCACGGTTTTGATCCGGAAGAAAGTAAAAAAGAAGACCAATAACTTAAATTAACATAAAAACAAAGCAGCTTTCCTAGTTAGTAACTTTTTATTTGTCATGTAAAATTACTCAAATCTAAAGCTAAAGTTAGGAGTAAAATCTTTGTTAAAATTGAGTAAAAATTGTACTGATAAGGCCTATGACTTTTGAACTTGTAAAAAATCAATAAAAAGGTAAATAGTATTTGACTCTTTAAATTTTCCCAATAAGGATCTTTGTATTCCCAATAGATTTATGCTTTAGATTATAACTTTGCTAGCTTTTTTTGCTAATAATCATGATTCATCTTTGATCTTTTAATTTATAGATTTTCATAGAATTGTAGGTTTTTCTCCTCTTTCTAATATCTATCTTATTCTAAATCTAACTATATTAAAGATGCCTAGTTTCATAACTTTCATTTCACTTTCAGTTGATCGGATGATTTCCATTTATAAATTTTGTAGCCTATTTACCCCAACTTTCCTCCCTTTTTTCTAGTTTATAGTAAAGCATCTACGGTCAATTTTGAGAGCACCTGTAAACACAAGGAAAAAGAATACCGTAATAATATTCATTTTACTAAAGGAAAATTTGTCGAAAAGAAAGGCCTAGAGTAATATCATGTATTGGTCAACTCTCGGAAAATGGAGTATGTAGTAAAGGTCCTAACACACAACCACAATCACTAATAAGGACTTTTAATTTGTTGCCAAATTTATTTATTTATTTATTTCAAAAAATTTCATTTCTCACATAATGGTAAACATTTTTTTTTTAAAAGCATAATGGTAAACATAAAAGGACTTTTCTAACAAATTTT